AATAAACTTTTTAAAATGGTTAAATCTGGTTAAACCAATTTAAAATGGTTAAAGTGCAATCTGCACTTTTTTCCAAGGGTTGCTGCTCTGTCATTTTCTACACCAGCTTTGCTACTTCCACGGGTGTTCAGACTTGCATTCGCTGGCAGCTCTTCCTTCATACTTCTTGACTTATTCATTTACTTGACCCTTCCTGATTGTTAGAGAGAGAGAGAGCGCCCGACCACTTCAGCAACCATGCATATGACTGGAAGACAGGGAAAAGATGCTGCATGTATTTCTCCTTCCTCTCTCTCTCTCTCTCTCTTCTATGCCTGTCCTGCCTTTCAATGGGCTGGGTCAGCTGAGCGCCCCTGGTCTAACAGACTCTTCCCTCTTTTCCAGAATGGGCTCAATGCTTTGCACCTCGCGTCCAAGGAGGGACATGTCAAGATGGTAGCCGAATTGCTGCACAAGGAGATTGTTTTGGAGACCACCACCAAGGTAAGGCCCCAAGCGGTTGTGCTAGGCAGCAGTCAGACCCAACTCTTGGGAAACTCAAGGTGCTAGAAAGCCACGAATTATGGGTGGCCAGGAAGAAGGCGACTCAGAGCAGATTCAGTGATTAGGAGAAGCCAATGGGCTAGACCGTGGCCCAAGCCCCTTATATAGGAGTCACGTGACCCATTTTGGCCTATTGGAGAAGAGATTTCTTTGCCTGGGGTGGCAGCCCCCACCCCTGCAGGTCCCTCCTTTAGGATCCAGTTTCCTCACTGGTTCTGCTCCCGAATTCTTTATTATCCCCTATTTCCTCGAGTGCCGAATGGCTGAGGAGTCACCATTGAAATCTGGGATGATTAAATACTGGGGATGTTCTGGGCCCACCCCAGGCATATTTGGCCCAGGGTGGCCAAGATGGCGCCCTCATGCCCTCTCCATGCACAGAACAGGGCAAAACTGGCAGCCAAATCCGACTTCTCATTGCGGAACCGTGTAACGGTCTCTCCTGCGCTGTTTAATCTTTACCTTCCGTTTCTCTTTTCCAGAAAGGGAACACGGCCTTACACATCGCTGCCCTGGCGGGACAGGAGGATGTTGTGCGGGAACTGGTGAATTTTGGGGCAAATGTCAACGCACAGTCACAGGTGAGCTGTCCTGTCCTCGCGGTAGAACCTGGCTGGGACTTTCGCCAAGGGCACGTTCAGGATCCTGCAGATTCCCGCACAGAACAGCATCTGTGGAACAGCCTCCTTGATCAGAGAGAGACCGTCTGGGTAGCGGGACATAAATAAAGGAAGACCCCATCACTGACAGTTCTCCGCCAGACTACTAGTGCACTGTCAGACCCTTGAATAATTTGCAGTTGATTAATCACAGCTCTTTTGAGCAGTTAATCAACTACACTTATTTATTTATTTTACACTTCTAAAACCTCAGCACTTCCACTGGAATCCCTGGTTGGCGGGGAAAAGAATTGCCTTTAACTTCTGCTCTTTCCGATTCAAAATGCAATAACACATGAGCAACAAGAGAATCTAAAATAAAAAGGCCATCATTTTGACCTCAGCTTGCAGGTCTGCTGATTCAGCTACCAGTCCTTTTTACCAAAAGATGCCTGGTTTGCAAGCTTTAGATTTTTCCAAGGAAAGGCGTCACATGCTTTGACCCAGCATTACCCACCTTAGAGTACTGTACCTAGTTTTGCATTTGTCTTTGTCTACTACGTGCAACTGTTTTTGCATGCAGTTTTCTGCGACATGAAGGTTTCCAGGTATGAAATATCTTTTGAGCTGCAGCCTTTTTTCTGGGCTCCCCCCCCCCATCTGCCTTTGGATTAGGCAAAACTAGCAGATTGAAAGACATGGAAGGTGTCTCTCCAAAGCCCCTGTGGCTGCATCACATACATACCTTTGAGCATCATTCTATTTCTGCCACCCAGCCGATACCCAACACATCATCTGCTCCACCAGGTTATTTTTTAAAAGGAAAATGGAATGGATTGGGGACCCCCGGGTGCTTTCTCTGCCCGTGAGATGAATGGGGTGGGGTGGGGGGGGCATGCTAGATTTGACTGCAGGTTAGCTCAGACGTCCCCTGCTGGCCGCAAGGTGGCACAGTTTCTCTGTGAAAGCCCGCTCTCTCGTGTTTTGGGTTAC